AATATTTAATTTATTTTTTTTCCTTTTCACAACAAATTTGTTTTTTTTTTTATTTTGTTTGCACTGCACAATGCCTTCACTTTATTAGCTGCATTGTATTCAAATGTTTATTGTTTATATTCTGATTTTTTCTTTTGTTATGGTGGCAGTGCACCATAGGTAGGCTCTAATTTAACCTCGAAGCACCATATTTACGCGCGGTACCTTCTTAAGCCTTTTAAAATAAAACCCCTTGCATTCCGATTTTATTTGCACAAATGTTTATTTTACAAAGTTTATAAATGTTTTAATGTCTTTTTTATAAATGCTTCTATTGGTTATTAATTCGATATTTATATCGAATTTAATTAGGTACATTGCAGATTTTATTTCCTGGATACATGTTTATTTTATTATATATGTATATGGCGGCCGCGGTAGCCGAGTCGAAAATCGCTTAAGCGGTTACAAAGCGCCAATTATGTGTGTATACGAGGTGTGACAATTAATTATTGTAATATGTCTGATTATGACGAGATTGTGGTAACCTTGCAATATTGAAATTTCTTTTACTTCTCCCAGAATCCGTCTCTTTTCCATTGATATATTTGCCATCGCTCTTGCTTGTTTAGTTCTGTGCCGAGTTTAGTGGTGCTGGTCACGAAAATGGAAAAACAAAATCAAGTGCAACTCGTGGGGATGAAATTAACGCCAAATTGGGCGAAACTATTTCGGGAACGTACGCTAAAATTATAAAAGTGCATGGTTATTGCGCTCTTAGTCGTGCTTAGGTGTTTCGATGGTTGTCTCTGCACGCTCCCCGCCCGAAAAAAGCTTGCATGGGTAAGTTGAAGGTGAAAACTATGATTATTGCCTATTTTGATAGCCGTAGAATCTACAAAGTCTACAAAGAATTTCCATCGGGGCAAACCGTGAATCAACTCTAATATCGCCAAGTACGCGAAAGATTGCGAGAACCACTCAACAGGGTGCTCCCAGACATTGCTCGTAACTGGATCCTTCATCACGACAATGCGCCGTGCCACACCGCCCTCAGCGTGTCCCAGTATTTGGTCCCTGAAGGGATCACGGTATAGCAACAACCGTCTTACTCGCCCGATATGTCAGCCTGTGACTTCTTTTCTTTCCCTAGAAAAAATCGGTGGTCAAAGGAACACATTTTAAGTCGATTGAGGACATCCAGGTGGCTTATGTAATATTAGCTCTCTCCTCTATTAAGCGCACGCTTAAACAAAAAATTTCTGCATGTAATTATTTTGTCATATTCGGCCACTTGGTCTAATTTTAAATTTGTCAATCCTCATTGCTAGTGGCTCAATATATTTCGTTGGACTTAAGGTCATTTTCTTTTGGTCGTTGTTATAATTTGTCTCAAATCCAATATAGCTACAGATTTTTCCAAAATCTTTAAAAATGTTTCTTTGAATTATCTTTTGTTTCGCTTACTTTTTGTCTTATTCTTACTACACATCAATATATCGAATACTAAAATGTAGTTCTCATCTCTACTAACTTTTTTTTACATATAGACAATAATCGTAATCGCTTCATACAAAGTTTAATATATCGAGATATTTGTGTAAACATTCATACCTTGCTCTTGGGCTACTCTTAACCCATACAACGCCTTTAGTTTTTTTCTTATTTTTTAAACTATATTTTCTCCCGTTTCTCAGTTCATTAAAGTATGCTTCTGACTGAACGTATCCATTCAAAAAAGTTGTTTGCAACAATATAATAACAATTTTTTTCCTGTTAGCATTGAAATGTTTTTTCGACATTTAACTTTGTATGGATTGCGCATTTCATTTCTGTGTTCTTGTTTTTTCAGGTAGACCAACTAGTATAGTCTATTGAAAAATTTGAAATTTCCATGACCTAGCGCTCAGTGCCAGTTCTCTTTCTCAGTTAATTTAGTTACATTTGTGTAAATTTTTTTCGATTATTGGGATGAAATGCTCTCTATGCTCTCTATTTTATTTGCAACTGTTAATAACTCTGCTTTTTTGTTTTAATAACTAATTAATTTTAGTTTTATTTTTACTTGCACTGTTATTGCACTTGATTATTTTTTCGCCTTTTATAACTTGCGGCACACATGTCTGAGGGTTGTTCATGGTGTCCGTGGTGGACGTCTTCTGAGTGATGTCTACATCCACGATGTTGATCTCTGCTTAGACCGCCTCTTATGTATATTCGTGTTCAAAATTCATCTGTGATATTGTTTTTGTGAACTCCTGCCTGTTGTGGCCTCTAGCATTTTGCTTAGCGTGCAAACAGTCCCTTTGCATGTGGCCTGTTTTACCACATGTATAATATTCTTTTCCAGTTTGGTGTTAAGTGTGCTTACGTTATTCTTTTCTCCATTGAACCCTTGATCAAACTCTCTTTTTTTATTTTCGGTTTTTAATAATTTACCGTTCGTTGTTATTCCGGAATTACATCTAAAAAGTCTTCAATATAACTGTAACTTTCTGGTAAGGCCCTTACTAAATATCTAATTTTTTCGTTTCCTCTCTATGGTGCCTCCAGCAAACTTAAATTCATTAACTGCTTCCCCGAATTCTATGAAGAATTTTCCCACTGTATCATAGCTTTTCAGATTGATTGCATCTATTCTCCCTCTGGACAATATTTGTAGAGCTGTAGACTTTGTCACTCACATATTCCAAATGTTTATCTGACAGTGTGCTTATTAAAACTTATTTAGCTTTCAAATCCATTTTCTCCCATGTGGCTTCGGTGTCTTCTGATGTTTTCAATCTCACTGCTGATTTTTTACACTCTTTGTTTTCTAGCATCTTGACATTGATCTGAATTTCCAGCTTGCAAAGTTCAAATACGGACATAATAATGTCTGCGTGGCCATTTGTTCTTATTTTCGGAACGCGATTGTCGAGTTTTTCAAATCCCGTTGCAATCTATCTTTTTTTACATAAAGATAACAAGAGAAAAAAGAATCCCTTTTTTCACTTTTTCAGTAGTATAGTTATTGTAATTATCGACTCGTTATACAATATATTTGGAAATCTCACACCACCACGTTCCTTTCGTTGTTTTTTTATACTTGTCTTTTCGTATCCGTTATTCCTTTTTTCGCTTCACTTAATCCGCATATGTTCGTAGTTCATTGGTTAAGTGGTAATAACAATTGTTCATATGTATTAGTTACATTACAATAATGTGGCTACTTCAAATGCACATATTTATTTCTTAAAATCCGACTAACTTATATTTTACATACTGCTTATTGCATATTACGCAAGAGTAGTAACATAGACTATAAATACTCTCATAGAGTGGACCCTCGGTTAACGAACTTAATTCGCTCCAGTACCTTGTTCGTTATGGAAAAAGTTCGTTAAGCAAAACGACTATTTCCATATTGATAAAACATTTCAAAAGATTAATCAGTTCCAGATCGAAAAACTACACACTAAAATGTTTCAATTTGAATTTTTATTTAAAAAAAATGTAAAAATATTCCATAACTTGTAAAACGGAAAAAATAAACCTATATATATGAGGTGTGTTAAAAAAATATCGCGAATTTTGTGTTTTTTCAAAAATCCCCTTCAAAGTAATCCCCATGAGATATTATACACTTGTACCAACGGTTTTTCCAATCTTCGAAGCATTTCAAAAAATCATTTTTTTTATCTTGTTCAGCTCCTCCTTCGATGCCGTTTTTATCTCGTCAATCGTAGCGTAACGTCGTCCTTTCATGGGCCTCTTCAGTTTAGGCAACAAGAAAAAGTCACAGGGGGCCAGATCTGCGGAATGCGGTGGCTGCGATATCATTGGTGTGTTGTTTTTGGCCAAAAACTGGACTGCGTGAAACATAATTATGGCAGATTCACTCAAGCCTCCCACCCGAAAATATGAAAAATCCATCTTCTGCCTTAATTGGTGTTAATTTAAATTTCATTATTAATTACTGTTACTCTATCCCAAGTTGATTTTGGCAGACTCTATTTAAAGAAACGTTTGGCGAGTTCCTTTCTCCTTTCATACTCTAGTCTTGAAAATACATCTTATATAATATCGCCAGTATTCATGGCAACCTCTAGAAGCTCTGAATCGAATGTCTGTTTTCGAGAACATTTTATCGAAACTTTCTAGGGTTATGTGCTAGTTGTTAACTAGTAACCTTATGTGATATGATGAGTTTTTTCGAGAATATATTGTAATAAGCCGGAATTTGATTTATATTTGTCTTGTTTGAAAGCATCAGAAGTTAGCATGTTGCGAAAGGCCCACTATAAATATTTGCATAAAATTGAAATGAAAAGGATTTTCCCCAAAACAATGATTTATTCAGCACACTTTAGCTTGGCGAGCAAGACAGCTGTTGGTGCTGAACGAACCGTTCTAATTCGACAAGGACCATTGGCAATAATTCCAACTAAAGAAAATAAATGTTACCTTGCGAGAACATGTAAAACTTTCTAGTGATGTAAGCTAGGCACACACCTGCAGTTTAGTCGATTAAAGGAATTCGTTATTAATGTTACGATTTTACTAAATCAACCTAGATTATTTTCCGAATCCTTCGGGTACGATCTCTGGATTGTTAAATAAAACTCGCCAACTTAATTTGCAGTTTCTTTCGTTATAAAGAATTAATCTAACGTTCTTTATTTTCTTAGTAATTCACAATTCAATTATACTGCACTTTACTATTTATAATCACTAACATCAACTTTCACAATTTACTCTACTGAAATGTAATTCCCAACGCGTTCACTTTACGACTTCACTGATGTTAACGTCAACCAGTTCGCTTTGTCACTAACTTGACTTGCAGCTGAGTGTCGCCTTTATATAGCAGTCGGCTGCTCGCAGACGAAAGCGTAGAAGCATCGAATTGTTCGCTATGGAGGGTTCTTGTTTTATCGTTTCTAGAACGTACTAGTTATCGGCTTCTCTCTTTCATCTGACATTCGCCTCGCATTTTCGCAACATTAATATCTTTTTCAATTATTGAGCGCTAGATAGATTTTTTTTGTGTTTAAACAACTATGTGTATTTGCGATATCTTAGCTTGATGCAATGATATATGTTTACAAGTTTTTACTTGCACCTGAACACCGTGTTATGTACCGAAATCAAAGTTTGCGTACAAAAAAATTTTTCTTGGCAGGCAACACTTTTTGTTGACATAAGTAGACATATTTTGATTGCTGCCAACCTAATTATTTTCATCTGATTTTTCACGAGGTAACTAAGTAGAGTATTTTAGAATATTCCAGAATTAATCCATTTTGTTTCCTTTATTTCAGGCGCATCAAATGATACACTCGCCTTAACAGAGCTCATGGGCTGACGTTTGGTGCCTGTAGTTTTTTTTTTATGAAAATTTTGGGTAGTAGAATGTCTAAAATTATCAAAAATATTAATTTTGTCGCGCGCAAATTTATAGTTGAAAAGTTATAAACATTTAAAGCTGCACTTTTTATATGCCAAGAACCTGTGCTTCTGTTTTACTTATAAACACACTAATAACCCTTGACTAGGCAGGCGTTGCCATTCCGTTAAAAATATCCAAGCAAAATAATTTGAGAATTTCGCACAAGAGATTGTGTGAAAATAAGACTTTTATTTAAAAACACTGCAAGGTAAGGCCGGAGTCGGAATTCACTTAAGAATACTGTGCAAGACGAAGCCGGTGTTGGTTCGGTCTATGGCTACAATCCAAAAACTACGAAGAAATTTCACTTAAGAATACTGTACAAGGTGAAGTCGGTGTTGGGCTGTGCTTTCCATTATGATTCCAACGCTTGTTTCAGCCAAAATAATTGACCAATCCTATTGAAATTTTCAGGAGTTGTTGCTGTTAATCTTATCTATGTTTATTTATTAAAATTAACACATAAATATTTATAAATTATATATAATTTCTTGTTAATAAATTTACACTTTCATCACAAATATTTACTTAGCACGTGCACTTATTTAACATACATGATGCAAAATACTAACTTCAATCTGTTCACATGCGATTGCTAAAAATTGTTGTAATTTTATTTCACTTGGTTANTAGTTGTTTTATTTTAGAATTTCTTTTTTATATGTGGCAACACCAAAATTCACAGTAATGACACTTTGTACAAAATAATAGGGTAAAAATTCGATTTTTTTGCTATTTTAAATGTAAATATCTCGAAAACTAAAGGTCTCCGGTAGGTTTGGTTTTCGGTTTCTGAGAGAGGGTGGAACCCCCTAACACCCCTTATAATTCGTTTTTCCCAAAGCCTGGAACCATAATGGAAAACTTTCCCCGGTGTTGGTCCGAGCTATATTTTTATTTGAGTGTTAACATTTTTTTTCTTATTTTATTTTTCTGCATATTTATTGTTAATTTGTAGATTGGCAACGCCTCCCTAGCAAAGTGTTAGTGTTTTTATAAGTAAAATACAAGCAGTGTAGAGATTTCAGTTTAATATCGTTGATGTTGGTTCTTTACAACCTTGGATCGAACAAATCAATATAACACGCGGAAAACTTCACTCTTAGCCAAAAACTGATTTTCCAGCAATTCTGCACATCGTTTTGTCTCTTGGGAGACGTGCTTGCTTTTGTTGAACAAAAAATTCTAGTTGAATTGTATCGAGCCGATCAAGCGGATGAAATAATCGCAAAGGCTTGGTTTGATGCGTCTATTCTGCTTTATCCGGAAGACTTGTTACTTAAAATATAAATGAATCATTTCTATCAAATATTTATAATTTTTTTTTGCCCTCACTGGTGAGAGGTTTGCGGTAGAGCCGATTAACTTCGAAACACCCATCAGAAGTGAGCAATTTTCGTGCAATTTTTTATTTCCTTCACACTTATTGGTATCAAAAAATTTAAACTTCGACGTGTCTCCACCCATTCAAACAGAAATTTCATATAATTGCAGAAATAAAATTGCAATATCAGACTGCACTCAGTTATCTGCAATTTGCTTTCCGAAAATAGCAAATTTTATTTCACTTGAAATTTCTGTCAAAGTTTTTTCTATTGTCAATAAAGATTTTTGATAAATTATTATGAAATAAGTCAATTTTCATCAAGTCTGCCTGAAATTTTCCATGCTACGTGTGACTGCTTTTGACATTTATCAGTTTGGCATATGATTTCGAAATAAGTAATTACACCTTAAATCTATTTTTTAATAAAATTTTTTATTGAATAGATTTTCATTCAAAAATATTTGGAAACTTTCTTATAACTTTGTTTTCGGAAATACATACAAATGTACATATATAGATAGTATAAATGATAGGAGTTCTCAAGTATTATAAATTTTCGTTGAAAAACCACTATTAAAATATATATAGAAATATTCTTTCTTTAAATCAGACCTTAAAAATAAATAGGATTAAACTCCGCTATATATACACTGTTTGTTCGAAAAACTCAATAATTTTATTAAAATGGTTGTTAAATTTGTTTAAGCTCGTTTAAAGTTTTATGTTTAATAAACATAGTTTATTTTAATTTTTAATACATGCATTTTTTTTTAGAATTTCAGTCTGATTGATTTTTTTAAGTAAATACTATTTTAACTTATTGTAAATTTTGTATACCAATAAAATCTCTTCCATCTATGGTGCTTGAAAAAGCAAGTAAAATTCAATTCAATTTTATTTCCAGAAATATATGTACATATATATGTATAATATATGTACATATATTTGTTTCTGTGGGTATCATATTACTTATTCACCTCTAAATAATACAATATGTTATAAAATTGAAATTTCTTTTTTTCCTTTTATTCAGCCAAAAGTCTGATTTTTACAAATGAAGTTGAAATCACAGCATTTAGCATTGTAATTCATATACATGCATATGTATATATACGATATATACATATATATTCGGCTAAGTACAATCATAAGGTTAGGCATTCGTCCGTTTATCTGAGTAAACTATTGTATAACTGGCTCAACCCCCAGAACGGTTTTGTACCATATTTGAGCAAAATCGGTATATTGAGAAAAGACAGCATTGTCTGGCTAGGTTTTGAAAGGATCACATGGACAGGGCAGATTTATTCATGATAAGTGGTGTCTCCTTTCTTCGTGGATTTTACTGAGACCACTCGGGCTCCGAACATTTTGTGTTCTCTCATTTGATTAAAATAGTTAATAGTACGCGTAAGCTTTTATTTGACTAGCTCAAACAATACGCGAGGAGCGTAAATCTTTGCATCACTTTGAGGAAATTTTTCGAGTATTTTCTGGTATTGATGATCTCAATTCTATATATACGTGTATGTATCTAGATATATAAATGTTTTTTGTTACCCTGCGATTGTTAGCGAAGTAGAAAGCCTTGAAACTTTAATACTTCGACTAGTTGCGTTTAAACGCGATAGGTAATAAAAAACTACATCAGTATTCTTTTCAGTGACGGAATCGTGCGATTCTATGGAAGTTTTTTGTTGGTTGACGACTCTGACTAATCTCCATTCATAAGGTAGTAGGTTGTCTTCTCTGATCAGGACAAGGTCATAAGTTTTTATTTTGGATCGCGGGAATCTCCACTGTTTGGAGTTTTCGAGTTCAGATAGCTATTCAGTTTTCCATATTTTACGCCTTTAGCCGTTGCCACCTATTGACGATAGAGGCTGGATGTTCGTTGGCGTCTATTTCAGGAAGAGCAAGAAGGTGCCCACCGACTAAGATGTGACCTGGAGCTAGTGGTTCAAGGTCGGATGGTAGGTTTGATGCGGGACTGAGTGGTCGAGAGTTGAGGCATGACTCAATTCTGCACAGAAGGATCGAGAGTTTTTCGAAGGTGTATCAATACTCAGTGGCGATTTCTTTGCAATGGGCCTTGAAACCTTTAACTCTCGCTTCCCACCATCCTCCCAAGTAAGGAGCTGTGGCATTCGATGAGCGTAATTTGTTGTACTTCGTGTTTCGGTAAAAATGCCTTAAACTCTGATCATAGAGATCGAGAAGCTCCGACAAAATTCGTTCCATTGTCCGGGTAGATATTTTTGGGACAACCTCGTCTTCCTTCAAATCTTGCAAAGGCTGCCAAAAATGATTGCGTACTTTAGTCTGAGGTGGCTTCTAAGTGAATTGTCTTTGTGGCGAAATATACAAACAGACGGACATATTCCTTGGAAGCTCGACATTTTCTTCCGTTATAAATTTTTATGTCAAACGGTCCAGTGAAGTCGAAATAAAAATTTTTTTAAATGGTCATGAATAAGTGGTCCGTTCTTCGGAAAGTACACCCATAAGTTGCGTTTGTGACCGTTTTCTGTAAATTGTGCAGATTTTGCAGTTGTGATTTGTTGACCTAGTCATATTCTGTACTCGTGGAATACAATATTGCGTACGTATTAGGCAAAGCATAAGCTGATTACCTCCATGAAGTGACACTTTGTGGATGAACTGAACTTTGATAAATTTAACGATTTACCTAGACGACCACCTGATCTTAATATCTTTTCCCTGTCAATAAACGATTAATAGGTAAAATTTCACTTTTGGGGCTGGCAGGTTTTTTCGATTTGAGTAATGAGTATTCCTGACCATAGTGCTGCTTATGGCAAATAATTATTAAGCGCTGAGTCATTGCTTTGATTTCATCTGCTGAAATCGAACAAGATCTCGCTTGAAAGGAAGCTTTAGTGTTTGGGTGAGTCCTTTGGAAAAATCTTATAACATAAGATAAGAATCGCAAGGATCTCGATAGGTCAGAAAATCTCTCAATAATATCTCCATTAATATTGATTGCCATAGTCGTATGAAATTCTATTCTTTTCTCTTCTAACTCGGTATTATAGTTCTTATCTTGTGTGGGCCATATTGACTTTTTTCTCGCAGCCAAGAAGGACCCTCCAATTACAACGATTTTGTAAGTAACTCTTGTGAGTTAATGCCTCTCTTTGCTAAATCTGAAGAACTTGATGCGGGATCAACATGTAGCCAATTTTGATTTCCTACTTTTTCTCCAATTTTTGTGACTCGATGAGCCACAAATATTGACCACGAGCTTGGCGGTCTTCTGATCCAGGCAAGGACAATAGTTGAATCGGTCCATAAATAAGTGGTAACCTGACCTAAATTAAGATATGTAATAATTGACTAAACAAGACCCGCTAATAAAACAGCTCCGCAGAGTACAAGTCGCGGTTATAAAATGGTTTTCACTAACGTATACTCTATATTCTTTCCTGACACGAAAGAAAATACAAGCCACGTACGCTTTCTCTGAGGCATCACAAAAGTCAAGAATTTCTACTTGAGCCATTGGTGAAAAATATACCCAGCGTGAAATACGGCTTTTATTAATTTCCGAGTAGTTATATATAAAGCTTTGCCAATTGTCTGATGTACTTGCGGAGACTGTCTCGTCCCAAACTGTACCCTCTAGTCAGATGTTTTGTATTATTATTTTTACAATACAAATGGCGCAAGCCAACTGTGGTCGAACAGTCGAATAGCCGATAGTATTGC